AACGAAGACCGGCGCACGAAAGTGCATGAATAAGGATTATAAGAATTGAACTGGTCTGCTCTCTGAGAAAGGTGTTATTCGAGGTATTTACCAAATCATCCTTGATTATTCCACCGATCGTATTAATTTCACACAGCATCATGGTAGATTCTCGGCGTCACCTCGTGTTAACCTAGAGCCACTACGAAATGCCACTCTTTCCCCGTCTCTTTTTATATTTCGTCATAGTTATGCATTTATTGAATTTAAATCTGCGGGCAATGTAGTACTGGACCTTAAACAAATCCTCTGAAGCCAAAAAAGGGTCTTTAGGTTGTTCACATCTCGTTCTCTTATTATGAGCACTGGCAAATATCACGATGTGATTTTTTGACTACTGCTCGGTGAACTATTGCGCAGTCTAAGAGTCAGCTTTTCCCTCACCTTAGTAACAAACACCCAATATCAAGTTGTTCCACCGTGAGATATTTCGGGGTGTTTTCAACTCGTAGTCTGTCTCGGTCCTCGCACGTCCGCGAGATGTTTCATAAGGTGAGAAGACAATTATTGTTCTCTCTGAGACTACAAATGCTTTTTGTATCATATAATTTAATCCTTAATTGTAAAAAAGCTTACTTCGTTCCCCACTGGCTATAGTGTTCATCTAAGTTTTCTGGTCTCCTTTCTGAAGGCTTCATTCTCCTGAAAAGAACCTTAAGGTACCTATAAAAATACAGTCGACTCTCTAGTGCGATCCTCATAGATAATACTTTAACTGGACACACTTACACATCTAACGAAGTTATCTCTTCTGAACTGAAAGACGTTTCACATTCTTTACATAGTGAACTGTATCAAAACGTTTCCGCAACTGCCACACGAGCTAGTTTAGTTAGAGTTCTATATTCCCGTACTTTCTACTGCCACCATTTAATTCTTCCGTAGTTATTTAATTTATCTCCGTTTCGCCTCACGAAAGTAACCAATGAACTTCGTGCGCGCTTACTTGCTCAACTAATTTTACGTTGCACCACTTTTAGCATTCAACTTCAATTTTTATTCAAAATATTCACAGTAGTAATGACGTAGTAACATGAAACTTCACCCAGCAGCTCTGTATAAAGTGTCTATTGACTTGACTTGCCTTGTACTAAATATGATCACTTGTATGGTCAATTTTTCAAACGTGTGAAGGGGAATCGCGAACGAGACTGAATCATTTATCCGGGGGGATGAATTTCTACCTCGCTTTTTCACAACTGCAAAGCAGTTTCGAAAATTAAGCAGATCTGAGGTCAAATAACCACAGTAAGGTAACAACTATGAACAATAAGTTATCGAGTCCGGACAAGAGTGGGAATTAAAAAAAGGATTTTCCTTTAATTTCTTCCCAGTCTCCTGTTGTTTCGAAACAAAACGCATATAAGAAAGCGCTATATCGGTACGTTTTTCTCAGCCCAAAGCGTGTGAAGCGGAGACGAAATGGGGCAGCGAGCAATATGAACATGTTTGTAATGGTGTAAACGAGTGAGACCGTACTTCGTCGAGTCTGCGTATGTGGTTTTGGTTTGACATCTGTACACATCGGGATCAGATTAATACAGAGATATCATCGGTGTGTGTGTGTGTGTGTGTGTGTGTGACATTAGTAATACAGCAGTATCAGCATGACAACAGCCTACAACACTTGGATAATTACCGAAACGAATGTGAACTTTGTGAAATCGTCCGCTTTCGTTCCTCTCGGTTTGTATTGTGTGCAGTGTTGTTTCCCCTATCTGATCCGGGTTTGCGATTAATTACAGTTAACATGCGAGCTTTTGAATCGAGGTCGAATTAGTGTGGTCCATAAAAACATGCGTTTAGAAAAATTTAAAAAACAACTGTTAGACATGGTGGACTGTGGAACAATGTATTGACGATGAAAATAACTAATGAATAAATCCAATCTGTGCTATTCTTGACTAGCGTTTCGTTGGTAATTTTCATCATTAGGTGTGTACATCACTTATGGATTAAAGGGCCAAAAAGGAAACGATGATAGACGAGGTCCCCACACAGTAGGTTTCGTAGTTCTAGTTGAATGTATAGAAGTGACTAAATATCATAACTTAGGGCATTTGTTTCGAATAACTTATCATCTTGATCGGTTCATATTGCTCCTAAATCGCCTTACTTGTGTTAGCACATTACAGTTTAATGGGAAATTGGTGTCCACTTGTTCGAATTCACTCATTTTTGCATCTTGACTCTCTTTTTTCAGCTGCACACATGGATTCGCAGTTCGGATGTGCTGGGTACACGAACTTTGTCTTGCTTAACACGAATTTCGTCCATGACTGGACCGTTAACTGATCCAGTCACTCCACTGACCGGACTCAACGAGCCAGACTCCAATGGAACTCCTTCAGCGGAAGACACCCACCAGCCCCCTTCGCTCGCTTGTTTGTTCCACGTGCTCACTTTTATGAACCATTTGAGTTTATGGTTGATGACCGGACCGGACGAGCTGACCTCTGCTAATAGTGTACTCATGGCTTTGTCTAGCACACAGCAGGCCGTTCTGCGTGAAGACTGTGATCGACGTTTGACCGACGCGCAATCCGTGCCTCGTATCTGCCCTGCGGAATTGCATGCCTACGAACTACCGTTGCTGTCGGAGTTGGTCCAGAATCTTGTTCTGTACAGTTCGCGAACATGGGAGCCGGTCGAAACGGCACTGGCTTTACCCGGTTCAGTTGCCGCTGGACGGCGCTCTGCAAGTGACGTGTCAACCATCTATCACCATGCTCTGCTTGTGCTTATCGTGCTTGATCGGTTCTTCGTACGAATCTCAGCTTTACTAATGCAAGTATGTAGTAATTCCAGTTTTATCCTTCCTTACCGCCACTCGCTCCACCGACCGTTGTGTTGTGTCTGTTCTGTTACATTCCATCCACCAGTGATTTGCCTTTTCTCATCTCGATTGTGGTACGGTAGATGGGTTTCAGCGATAAGATTGGTTAAACAGACCGGTTTGTCGATTCTCGCCAACTCTGCGGGTGGTTGATTTATTGGAACAAAGCCCACGGATATATCAGCCTCGGGGTGCGAGGGTCATGGAAAGTGATCGAACACACGCCGATAGCAATCAAGACCGGGGTATGAGCAGTATAACTGGTTACTGGATTACAAGATACTGGCACAATTCCTTGCCCTGGTTACCTTTGAGCGGAAAGGTCAAGGATTATCTTAACCTTGTTTTTACTCCAGTTCAGTGGTGGCTACCGGGTACGTGTCCTAATTGTAATCAGATAGTATGATATTAACTGGGCACGTTTTCACAATGCCACAGACTTTGGAGTTTGAAAACGGCCAAAAGTCGCAATCCTACATGTATGTATTTACCCTAATTTAAATTGATCTTTAGGTTTTCTCGCTGTTAGGCGGTATGTGAACGACTCGCAAAAGGTGTCGACTGTTTATGTAAATAATGCTCTGTTGTCAAAAGGAAAGTGAACTATTAATTCATTTGTTTTTTGCCTCATCCAGATGGAATAAGGTGGGGCAAATCGACAAAAGCATAGAGCTTTGTTGTATGCAACTGCAAAGTGACGCCGAACACTCTTGGACAAACCAATTGACAGGTCGGGCTTGAATACTTGAAAATTGTAAGAAATAAGGGAAAGAGAAATCTGGAGTGATCAAAGGTGTTGCATCTCTCCTTTGGCAGAAGCTTGAACGAAGCCAGAAAGATCATGGATGGAAGCTGTCATTTGATTCAGGTACCCAGCTATAGGCTTGGCAGACACGAGTCCCTGATAACGAATTTTCTTATGGTAGCTATGAGAGGAATCCTGTACTGGCATTTCGATGATGTGCGCATGTTGAATGAACTGCGAAGGATGCTGATTATTCTTGACCAGTAGACTAAAAACGGTGTACCGCGCCGTCGTCGGGGAAGCTATGGATAGAGTCGGAAACAGAAGAGAGGACTTTCGTTAACAAAACAGCATGTAGAAGAGCAGGGGACTTTGGGGTACATTACGTAGGGAATTTCGGACATAGCTTCTGTATCACCATAGACCAGTGCTCGTTGAAGAAACAACGAAAAGTTGTCATTCCCATAAACGTAGTACCGTTTTCCTTTGCTCCAAAGAGGACTGAGGAAGCGATGTTTCGACAATACTGCTAAGATCTACTCTGAGAACGGCACACGCGGTTAAAAATAGTTTAATTCCGCCTCGTTGCATCAATCGGCGTTTGGAGAAATAGAGGAGAACATAGGATAGATTGTATTAGTGTATCAAGTATGTTGGAACGCAATGTTTTAAATCGAAAATTGAAAAATCGCATTCCAGCTAGCTCTGGATAGGAAAGAGGGGTATATGCGATAGAGTAGAACGAGAGAGACAGAGGGCGTTCAGGTAGTCAGATCAGAGGGGAAAAAGAGAGGATGAAGAAATTTGTGAGCTATGGACAATTAGGTGTCTGATTAGAAAAGTGACCTCACTTGATATGGCGTGAAATAGCAGATAATTTATAGATCAACCTACAAATCCCTACTTCGAAAAAAATAGCGTGACAGATAATATAGGTGGAAAATGGTTTGTTTGTTTTTTGTCTGTATACACGAGAAAATGTGTTTTTAGAAAAAAACGAACCCACATGAGATAAGCAAAAATGGCGGAAAAAGTGAACAGAATCAGTGTTGTGCGTATGGTCACGTATGTTGTTCGGGTACGGGCACCAAATTGTTCGCCCCACAAATTGAAAGTGTATTTCACTTATCGGTTCTGGCAATCGCCAAACCGTGCGATCTGTGTACCACGGGAACCGCTTAACTTATACGCACAGACACCATTGAGCCGAGCCTATTGTGAATTTCAAATTCAGTCTTTAAACATTATTCTCCCTTCTATCAAATCAGTTTATTTGTTTATTTCGTGACAACTACAAAATATGTTGACCATTTACCTTCCCAACTTAGAACATGTGTTGTTATGCCGGATCATTATCATTTTTTAAGTTACTAATACATCATTGCTTCTTATTACTGCATGTATGTTAGGGTTCGCGTACCCCGCCTGAACCGTTTCGTGTGGCTGCCGAAGCATCAGATTTACATTCGCGCATCACACGGTGCGATCTAGTTTTCACTCGTTCACAACATTGCTTCAATATTTCGGTTTTCTCCCCTCGCAGTGCCTGAATTTCGCAGCCAAATGGTCATCAGACTCGGACGGAGACGGCAAATTAGCACACGAAGCCGTCGAGCGATTGTTCAGCAATTGGATTGATCTGGTCGATTTCAATCCGGCGGCGGGGCCGGATTCAGCATTGGAAAATGGCGAGAATTGGAATAAAAAGTCCCGTCTGTTCTCCACAACATGTTCGGTCCCACTGACTGTGGGGGATTCGCATGATTTAGGTCAGTAACACCATTTCCTTGTATGTATGTGTGTGCGTGTGCAGAACTACGCATTGTTACCGATTCAAATGTAATCATATCACCTGCTAAACTCAAATTATCGTATCTCTCAATGTTTTTCTAAAATGCCCCTCACCTGCATGCCCATTGCATACATCAGAACCAGCCGGGCGTCGTGCCCGGTCGAGGTTGCATCAACCAAATGAGAGAGTCGTCGTTACTTATGTGCTTCATCATTTCCCAGTAGAGAATTCATGGGTTTGCACAATGTATTCATAATCATTTCACTACAGCTGACCACTTGCATACTGCAGTCAGAGTTGCTGAAATGTGCCCAGGATCTAGCCATTCATACTCTCAAATCCAATCTATGCAAATAACGAAACTGGTTGGTCACATTAGTTTAACCTTGGTGGTCGGCACCTACCTTGTTTCATTTTCTGTTGTTGTCCGTTGTAACTAGCGATCTTATTTTGGTCTAACGGTTGTTATCTCACTGACTATAAAAATCACCTTAACCGCAGTTTGCACGTGTACAGATACGGCAGAATGACCATGGATACATTGTTTCCAATTTGTTACCGGAAAAGTGTTTTCAGTTCGTCATTTCTCACCATCGTGATCTCAAAACGGCTTCTCCCGGAAGGGCGTGCAGCTGACAGTTGTCTCTCCTCTACGTTCTTTCAACACAAATGCAATTCGACATGAAAGCCTAGATTCTAGTCATGGCTCGCTTTGGTTCAATTTCTCCATAAAGAAAAGAGATGTTCTCATAATTACTCCTTTTCTAACTTTAGTTTTCCAATTCATCATTTTGTTAATGTAACTTTCTAATCCGTATCATGCAGCCTGACTGTAATTTTTTGTGTGAAAATCATCTAAATGATAATAACGGCTTTACCTCCCGTTCATTCGGCGTACTTAAGTGTAGCTGTTCAGGCACCGCATAGGCACAGTCTTGAAATTTGAACTTGTGGACTCCAAGTGCGATAGTAACGTCAAACAGTTGAACAGCGTCCCCAAAATATTGCTCTCACCGCGCGAACTGAAACCGGGCAACTCGAATTATTTGCTGGGCGTTGGTAGCCCGGTGTTATTGTCACCAAATTGTCACCCCGGAAGCTGTGTTCGAATCCCAACACCATTGCTTGACTTTCCCGATTGTGTGTTGTATGGCAGTCGTTTGCTTGGCCACTTCTCCCTTCCTGAAAATTGAATCGTTACGTATTCAATTAAGGGAATTAAAAATGAAAAAAAGATTCACAGCTCACACGACAAAGCAGTACTATATACACAGTGGTGGACAAACTCCAAGAACGGTAGTGGTCAAGCGATTGAGACCACTATAACAGCGGCCCGTGTGTTTGAATCCGGACACCATCGTTCATCGTCCTCATTTCTATTTGTAGCGCTCTTGTTTTTATTTATTATCAATTCAGAATACTTGAAAAGGTATGTATGAAAAGTTAAGTTATGCGCTCTGTGTTGACCATAGAAGCTCGCTTTTTTTACCTCCCTCCAGCTAGACCCAATCCCTGTCCATCTTATGCATTTATGTACGCTGTGAGTTCGGCAGTGACCAGTGAAGTTCGCTTCACTGTATCTCGCTGTGCGATGGTAATGATTTCTGTTTGTCCTCCAGACAGTCTTCGACTTGCGGCCTTATATGCCTGTATATTCCACAAAAGATATTCATTGATTATTACTATTATTATTGTTCGCTCTCAACTCGCAAATCACTAGCACTCTGTTTCATCGGAACGATTCTAGTAACCCTTAAACTCTTTCTACTGGTCGTTCCTGATTACACCTGCTAATGTGCTTCATGTTTGTCCCCCTCACCCACACACTTGTTCCGTTCAATGTACCCAAAACGCTCGCACTCAAATCGGTTCTCGTGTCCGTTCACACAGAGCGGCGTTCACAACAGGTGGCACAAATGGTCTTGTTGGTCCACTCAAACGCAGCTCAGCATCAGACCAGTCTATTCCAGGCGTTTCTGATCTCAAAATTGGTCGCAGGTGTTGGATTGCGCGAACCGTGGGCCGATCAGCAGGACGAGGATATCGATTTGGATTTAGATGACAACGATCTGAGTGCTTGGGAGGTCAGTCAGTAATGCGTGCAGTTTTCCGCGCGTAAATATTCTCTAATTGTGCGCATGGATCCAGTTTTCTGCTTGTATCTCTAATAGGTTCACAAACTCCAGTAAGCTCCTAAGGTCAATGATGCAACTTTTATATATATTCCACTGTTGTGCATTGCGCATTTGGTTGTGAAATGGCTGTGACTAAAACTTGGAATAAAAAGAGACGAATAGTGCTGAAAATCTTATTTCACATAACTTTCTCGTGGTTCTTCTATCGAGATCTGTAACACTGAAACAAAACTGCCCCCCCCCCCCCCCCCCNCCCCCCCGAAAATGCCTGGCACTACAGTATATCAAACTGACCCATCTGTTTTAGTTGCATAAAGTTGGCTGTTGTAGAACCTGCTCAAGCCAGCTTTATCCCTTCAAAACCTCCCTTGAGATACCGAACCGAACACAACCGATGCCAGTCATCGAAGGCAAATTGATGCAAGACAATAAGGAGCGTTATTGGAGGGGGAGTCGTCATTCACGTCTGACTGAGTACTTATCAACCGGTTTAGATTTTCGTCCAGTTTTCTTACAGTACCATTACCCGATCACTTTCATGCGGCGGTTTTAGTTGCTCTCTTTTCATTGTCCATTCCGATGAAGGACAATACGGATGACTGCAATCTTATGTGCAGTGCCAATGTTAAGATGTAAAACTGAAGTAGGTCAAGGGTGCACAGAGATTGAGAAGATTCATGACACTCCATCACTCTTTCAGTGTCTCTAACGCTGATCCTCTGGTGCCCGAAAGTATGGCGTATCACGATCTGTCTAATCCAGTCTCCCGGACCATGCCATGTCTTACTTTTACCATCCATTTCTTTTTTCCGTTCAGTACCT